TGTAAACACTCTGGTGGTTTCCTTCCAGATTTTTCCTATTTACACAGTAGCAGTTTATTTCTTAGTTTTCTTAATTAATTTTCCTGTTGGCTGCGCTGGGTCTCCGAGGGCTCACTCTAGTTTTGGAGAGCCTTGGCTGCTCTCTAGTCGTGGTGCACGGGCTTCTCCTTGCAGTGTCTTCTCTTGTTGCAGAGCACAGACTCTAAAGTGCATGGGCTTCAGTAGCTGCAGCTCACGGGCTCTAGAGCTCAGGCCCCATAGTGGTGCACGGGCTTAGCTGCTCCATGTAACATGGAATCCTCCCAGACCAGGGGTCAAACCTGTGTCCCCTGCATTGGCAGGCAGATTCTTATCCACTGTGCCATCAGGGAACTCCCTTGTGATTTTGCTTTTGTTTCTACAGAAAAAGGGATCAGACTGCCTGCATCGTTCTGTTAATTTTTTTCAGTCAACAACAGTTGTGAGTGTCTTCCCAACATTTCCCATGCCCGACATAGCCACACCATCATTTCCATGGCTCCATGCTATTCTGTCGCATGGAGAGACCATCGTCTCTTTACCAAGTTGACTGACATCTGGGTTGGTTCCTTTTTTGTTGTTGTAAACAACACAGCAAAGAACATCTTTGCACAACCTATGTGCTTTCCCCACACTTTGCTTAGGTAACTTCCTGTTAGCAGCATAACCACAGCCACCAAATTGACCTCTTTCTGTGATGCATGGCATGTCTCTCCTGTTCAAGCCCTGCTGAGAAAAAAATCTCCGACTCTTATCAGGCAGGTCACCCCACCCACTTCCCCACCCTCCTGGTATAGCAGGTCACCCCACCCACTTCCCCACCCTCCTGATATAGCATCTGCCCCGTCACAACAGTGCCCCTCATTGGCCTGCTCTCTTTCCTGGATACCTCAGGGCCTTTACACCTGCTGGTACCCAACCCTGGGCCCTCCCAGCTCCTATACCTCCCATGGCTGGACCTTCATGTTGTTAACATCTACACAAAAATGCTAGCTCCCCAAGGAGGCACCCTCCTGCTATGGGGTCTCCATTCACCACCCCCCCACACACCCCCGATCTAATCTGATCCTCAGGACCCACCACTGTCTGCAATTACTCCTTACACCTATTTAGCAGTTGATCTCTCACCCCCAGACTGTAAGCTCCGTGAAGGTAAGAACCCCTTCACAGGTGTGGTTAACCCTGTGTCCCCAACACCCACCCCAATGCCCATACATAGTAGGTGATTCAGTAAACAATAGTTGAATGACTGACAAAATGATGAGTTCAGCTATTTGTTCAGAACAAGTTGTAGGATTTTTAATATCCTTTATGAAAATTGTTCACTATATTTTGGGAACATCATCCAATACCTTTGGTGAAAATTGTTCAGAAATGTTGTGCTGGTTTACATTCCCTTGTGGGAGCTACAAACTAACCTAGAAAGAGTCAGAGGGCAAGATTTAGAAAAGGAGGTTGTCTTATAATTTATCAGGTTACACTTGGTTTTCATCAGTTGCACACAATTGTCAACTTTCCTAGCAGAACTGGAGCTTGGTAAATGTTTGAAGCATGGACCTTGCCTGAGGCAGTGGGAGGGACCCACCTGATGTCACGTGATACCCAGTTGGCCCACTGTCCGATGTGTTGAGAAATAAACAGCCCGTGCAGCAGAGCTTGCTTGTGCCTTCCAGGTGGGGTGGTTGTTGAGTGGGGATGTCTGGTAGGAACCTTAGGGTTCCTGTCTGGATGACAGCCTGAGTGGCCCCTGTCCCTGGCTTGATGGGGGCACCCCCTGTCCCATCCGTAGAGTTTCAGAATCACAAACTCTGGTAATTGTTCCCAGCACGTGTAATAGCCGAAGGCATGTGGCTCTGAGTGATTCTCCCAGACGATTCACTTGGGCAGAGAATCCAGGAAAGTCTTGCCCAGAGGCCTGAGGAGGGCCCTGAAATCTGAGCTTCTGAGAAAAATTGCGAGGCAGCCAGAGTCACCGCAGCCCACACCACAGTGTCCACCCTCTGCCTCCGTGGTCCATGGGGGCTTCTGGCACCAATATTCTGCTGTTTCTGGGCTCTGGACTTTCCCCACCGCCCCCTCTTGCCAAGGGCTCCCATCTGATACACATTTCCAGAAGACCCAGCTCAACCAAAAAAAAAAAAGAATGGTAATTACCTTAAAAAAAAAAAAGCCATCTGAGGAGCTGTGCTGGAGACGCGTGGGTTAACAGGCCACTTCGCGCACAGTTGAGGGGCTTGTGAATCATGGTAACCTTCCTGAAACACAATGCAGCAGGTTGCCCACATCACCAGTGGGCACATCCTCTGATATAGTAACTCCACTCCTAGGAGCTTATCCCTGGGTGCCCTCCTATAGATAAAGGCAGCCCCATGGACCAGGTTGTTCTCTGTAGCATTGTTTGCAAAAGCAAAACATTAGAAATGGCTAAATATCCATCCTCAGGGACCCAGTTAACTATATGATAATAGCGTGGCGCAGTGGTAAAAAGCATCTGCCTGCCAGTGCGGGAGCCAGAGGAGACATGGGTTTGACTCCTGGGTCAGGAAGATCCCCTGGAGGAGGGCATGGCAACCCACTCCAGTATTCTTACCTGGAAAATCCCATGGACAAGGGAGCCTGGTGGGCTACAGTCCATGGGGTCTCAAAGAGTTGGACATGACTTAGCAACTGAGTACATAATAGCTTCCTACAAGAGAATACTATGCAGCTGGATCAAAAGCACGAGGAAGCTGTTTTTGTACAGGGAGCCAATGGCTGTAAAAGGGACAAAAACAAATGTTGACAGGATGTGGAGAAGCTGGACGATGCTTGTGTGTCCCTGGTGGGAATGGAAAACAGTGCAGCTGCTTTGGAAAATAGTCTGGCAGGTTTTTAAAACGTTGAACAACAACAACAAAAAGTTGAACATACATTTAACATACGACCTAGTAATTCCACTCCTAGGTATAGAACCACAAGGAGTTGAAAGCACGCTGCTGCCGCTGCTAAGTCACTTCAGTCGTGTCCGACTCTGTGCGACCCCATAGACGGCAGCCCACCAGGCTCCCCCATCCCTGGGATTCTCCAGGCGAGAACACTGGAGTGGGGTGCATTGCCTTCTCTGGTTGAAAGCATACATTCACACAAAAACCTGTATGCAAATGTTCATCGCAGCATCATTTATATTGGCTAAAAATGGAAGAAATCTAAAGTCCATCAACTGAGGAAGGGATTAATGGTGTGTGATCTACCCATGTGATGGAATATCACCTGGTAAGAAAAGTAATGAAGTGCTGAACACGCTACACAACACGTTGCTGTTTTGTTGTTTAGTCACCAAGTCGTGTCCGACTCTTTTCCACCCCACGGACTGCAGCTTCCCTGTCCTTCACTGTCTCTCGGAGTTTGCTCAAACTCATGTCCATTGAGTCAGTGTTGCCATCCAACATCTCATCCTCTGTCGTCCCCTTCTCCTCATGCCAATTTTTCCCAGTGTCAGAGTCTTTTCCAGTAAGTCAGCTCTTCACATCAGGTGGCCAAAGTACTAGAGCTTCAGCTTCAGCAACAGTCCTTCTCATGAATATTCAGGGTTGATTTATTTCAGGATCGACTGGTTCTCCTTTAGGGATGATTGGCTTTCTGTGATTGGCTTCTGTTCTGAGCGTGATGTTTTGAGGCCACAACATGGGTGAACCTCAAAACACCATGCCCAGAACAGAAGCCAATCATAGAATGTCACACACTGTGTGATTCCATTGACATGAGAGGTCCAGAAGAGGCAGGTCCTTAGGAGCAGAACCGGCCAGGGGAACTGACTGTAAATGGGCACCAGAGACCTTCTAGGGATGACTGTAATGACCTGGACTGTGGATACGATTGCATAGCCCCCAAAAATCACTAAAAGTCACTGAATTGTCCACTTCAAAAGTGTGAATTTCATGGCATGTTGTATCTCAATGAAGCTGGGTTTGTTTGTTTGTTTGTTTGTTTTTAAAAAAGGATTTAGCTCCCATCTTGAGAGGGTGGTTTTTTCTGGCTGTGTGACTTGTAGAAACTGACTTTCTCCTTGCTTTCATACTCTTGCCTGAAAAATAGGAATACGAACGGCTCCACTGTGGGAGGGAGGTAAAGGCAGATAGAAAATGCTTCCTTTACAATTCAGTTCATTTCAGTTCAGTTGCTCAGTTGTGTCTGACTCTTTGCGACCCCATGGACTGCAGCATGCCAGGCTTCCCTGTCCATTACCAACTCCCAGAGCTTGCTCAAACTCATGTCCATCGAGTCGGTGATGCCATCCATCTCATCCTCTGTCGTCCCCTTCTCCTCCTGCCTTCCATCTTTCCCAGCATCAGGGTCTTTCCAGTGAGTCAGTCCTTCACATCAGGACTTCCCTTGTGGCTCAGCTGGTAAAGAATCCCCCTGCAATGAGGGAGACCTGGTTTTGATTCCTGGGTTGGGAAGATCCCCTGGAGAAGGGAAAGGTTACCCACTCCAGTATTCTGGCCTGGAGAATTTCAGGGACTGTATAGTCCATGAGGTCACAAAGAGTTGGACATGACTGAGCAACTTTCTCTACACTCCTATACAATAGCCGAGCCCAATTGTGCTGCCTCTTTTAGTAACTGGAACACATGTACTACTGTTTTAACACCACCCTATTAATCAGTCAAGCAGGTGGTTTCTCTTTGGGTTGACAGGTGGTAGCAAAAACCAGGCAGAAGTCCTGGAGGCTGAGTTGCATTCAGAGAGACAGGGGCCAGCAAATTCCAAGTTAACAGAAATACCTTAACAACCCAGAACTCGATTCAGACCCAGGCATGTCTGCAGAGGCAGGTGGCTTTGCCAGCTGCTCCTGGCCGGGGCAGGCCCTGTTCCTGGAGCTTTAGGAAGCATCTCTTGGCCACACTGCTTCCACTGAGGGGACCTGGGGACACCCAGCTCCCCCACCCCCAGCTCGATCCCTGCAGAACTTCTGGTAACATGCACTCTTCCTTCTTTTTCAGCTTGAGGACCCCTAGAGACGGAAAGGCCTTCCGCATCTTTGCTGTCAGGCAGTGAACTTGCAGGGCTGGGGAGAAGGGCACGTCCTCAAGACGGCTTCAGGGGTTCGCTTTTTATTTTGTCATGGGGGGTGGGGTGGGGTGGGCCGGGGATGTGGGGAGTCAGGAAGCTTCCTTTGATTGGCGTCCAGCGTCCCGTCTGCCGTGCCTTGGTCTCAGCTCCTCACGCTGGGAAGAGAGAGCATCCCTGGGGTCCTGAGCAGAGAGCCGATGATCATCCTGTCGAGGCCCGGGGGTCTCCCCATGGAGGTGTCCTTCTATGGATGGAGAGAGGATTCCAACTGGAGGAGAGAATGAAGGACTCGGAGCTGACACTGCGAGGCGTTGGGGCCATGGGAAGAGGCGCACGGAGAACGCTCGGGAGGCGGGGGAGTTTCAGGGATGGAGTAGAGGTAGCTATTTAAAACATTCAGAAACACAGTCTGTCCCTACCAGTGGTGAAAAATGGGATTAATGTTTGCTGGTCAAACGGGCTGGGCTGTGGGACCCTGCCCTGGTGCTGGTCCTGCTCCCGTCCTGCTGCGTGCAGGCTGGTTCTATACACAGCAGTGCTGGCTGACTTCGAGTTCAGCCCTAACTCCAGAGATGTGTCTTGTCTTGGTCCTTCCCTACGTCCATGTGGCCTGTCTGTCTGCTGCCTCGACCTTTGGTCTCATTGAGGACTAACGAACCAGGACCCTTCCTTGATCCTCGTCTCGCTGCGGCTCACACCCTGCCCAAACTAGTTTTTGTGTCTCCCACCAGGGTCTTTGCTTAGCAAGTGATTCTGTATGAAGCCCAACTTTTAATTTCAGCCCCTCGTTCTCTGTGGGTCCCACCAAGGTGTCCAAAAACAGCCAAAGAAGGGCTGTTTAGTTGCTGCCTTTAAAAATGGCACTGAAGTGTGCAGATTCCCCATCCGTCAGATGACCTATTTTTCTGCACTGGGAGGAATGGCTTCATTCTTTAGTACATTCCTCGCCGAGGTTAGCAGCTCTGGAAGGAGACACAGCCAGTGGTTATGAAACCATCTTGTGGCATAATAACAAGAGATGGTAACACACGCGGGGGATTTCTCTTCCTGTTTTTGTGGAACGGTTCTTGCCAAATGTTGCTGAGGCTCCGAGGAGCATGGTGCTCTCTGGCTCCCATCGCCATATAAAACTTCATAAGCCTCGACCCGAACCCACAGTGAAATAAAATACCCTTTTGTAAATAGAGTTTCTTTGCAGAAGGTAAAATTCCACTTTCCACCACCAGACTGGCCAATAGATCACTTTCGTGAATGCCAGTTTCAAAGTTGATTCCACCCTCAATCACCATATTTTGAAGGCAAAAGACCTAGCAAAAAGTTAAAAGAAAAAACTAAGATAGTCTGGATGAGGAGCTCTACCTGGGGAACCAAGCTGGGGCTTCCTTTCAGCGTATCCCTAATTAGAGCAGAAACAGAAGGTAAATACTATTCCCAGCTAGAGGGAGTTTGTAGAAGGAATGAAACTGTTAACCTTGACAGAGCTGAAATGAGCAGGACTGTTTTTGCTTTGCACACTGTGGGCTTGTTATAATTCATAAGTACCGACTGTCGGACTCCAAATGTCAGAGTGGAAGAATTTGGTCAGGCTGTCAGATACTCATCTTGTCCCTGCCAAAGATCTGAGTCCGTGGAAACTTCTGGATGTTAGTTAGGTATTACACTGTTGGACTTCTGCTTGTCACCAGGCTTTGGTGGCTGTGACCACATCCAGACTCTGAGTTTGGGTTTTTAGAATTAGTGGCAGTCCAGGGAAATTTCAGTAGGTTTGCTTTTGAAGCATTCTGCTGGAGGGAGAATCTGAAACATCCAATAGGAGTGAACTCTATCATTTAAAAGTAAAATTCCCCTGTTCTTGAATGCTTCATTAACTGGCCCGTATAATGGCCTAGAAACTCTTTGCCCAGGACCAGGTCTTGCTGTCTTTTTCACTCTCGCAAACATTTTGAAACTGGAACCATTTATCTTCCAGAAATGAACACAGGGCTTCAAAGTAGAAGCTCTCCTAATCAGGGACCCCCTTCTCATTTAGTGTGTTTAACAGTGCCTGCGGCGCCTTCAGCACCTCACCCATAAAAAGATGATAAATCTGGCCGACAGCGTTACCAGGACCCCCAAAATATGAAGTTTTGGTTTCCTTCCGGTTTTTCCCATCATGTTCTGATTTTTCATACTGTCTGTAGGCTCACTCAGCCCGCAGCTTACACGTGTGCTTTTTTCTATGAAAAATGATGTATTTTACTACTTCCTATGTACAAAAATTTATTGTAAATTTATGTGTGCTTCGCTTGAACAGGGACCACGTTGCTATCGTTTCAATAAAACTGATTTGATTTCTAAAACGTTTCTGGGACTTATCTTTTATGACACACCTCAACCGTTTGTGTAATAAAACGTTTAAAAGTTCCTTCCAGGCTGCTTGGAGAAGGAAATGGCAATCCACTCCGGTGTTCTTGCCTGGAGAATCCCAGGGACATGGGAGCCTGGTGGGCTGCCGTCTATGGGGTCCACAAAGCCGGACCCGAGTGAAGCGCCTTAGAAGCAGCAGCAGGCTGGTTGTTTTTTTCCACGCCATCCTCCCCGGAACGCGGCACACGGGCGTGGAGATGCTAATGACGGAAGGATTTCCATCTCGGATGTGAGTGAAGCTTAAGTCACGTGGGGGCATGCGCACATGGGGGCGTGAGGCCCTTGGGGCCTGCAGACGTGGGAGCGTGAGGACGTGGGTGCGAGGACGTGTGTGCGTGCCGACGTGGAGGCCTGCGGACGTGGGGGCGTGAAGGCCTGTGTGCGTGCGGACCTGGGTGTGTGTGTGCTTGTGGGGCCGGGCTTGTGGGTTCCGGCCGGGCTGGGCTGCGGCCTGAGGGGCTGCCTCTGACCACCTAGTCGCACGGCGTGGTGAGTACGACAGCCTTACCCTCACTCCATCAGCGTCCTAGTCCGCTCGGCTGCCCCCGGGTCCCCACCGCAGAGCCTGCCGTCCCCACAGCTCTGGAGGCTGGAAGTCCAAGATGAAGGCTCAGAGGGCCGCTCTCCTCAGGCCTCTCTCCTGGGCCTGCAGGCGCCCCCTTCTCACTGAGTCTTCTCTGTTGGAGCATTCCTAGTGTTTCTTTTTCGTCTTACGAGGACGGGTTCTGTAGGATCAATTCCTGCCGCGTAGACTCCGTTTAACCTTAGTTATCTCCTTCAGAAAGGCTTCCTTGGTGGCTCTGTGGTAAAGAATCCGCCTGCAATGCGGGGAGATGCGGGTTCAGTCCCTGGGTTGGGAAGATCCCCTGGAGGAGAAGATGGCAGCCCACTCCAGCATTCTTGCCTGGACAGCTGTAGTCCAGTGGGTCCCAGAGAGTCAGAAACGACTGAGCACGCGCATCTTAAGAGGCCCCATCTCCACAGACAGACATATCAGGCGTTGCGGCTTCAACACGTGAATCTGGGGAGGGGGAAACCCAGCTCAGCCCTGAACAGACGTCCTCTTCTCTGGGCGTCAGTCCGTTTTTGTCCAGTTGAGTCGTGTGTCTCTATGTATTTCGAGCGCCAGCATCCACAAACCGTTTTGGAGGTTCCTGGCCGACCTTTTTCATCTCCCCATCCACGTTCTGCATTTGCTTTCACCGGCCATCTATTTGTAAGAAGTACTTCTCATTCCCATCGATGGTGGGATTAGTGGTCCTTTTTTCTTTTTTTGGCAGTGGTATGCGAAATCTTACTTAAACCTGTGCCTCCTAAGGGGACGCTCAAGAGTACTAACCATGGACCACCCGGGAATTCTCAGCTTTCCTTTTTAATAAATATACTTGAGGCTTTTTAATTTAAAAATTTATTTTTTTGTGGCTGTGCTGGGTCTTCACTGCTGCAGGCAGGCGATCTTTAGTTGCATCGAGCGGGTGCTACTCTTCATTGTGGTGCCTGGGCTCACGTTGCCGCGACTTTTCTTGTGGCGCCCTAGCTGTAGGGCGCATGGGCTTCAGTAGTTGTGGCTCCTAGACTGGAGCACAGGCTCGGTAGTTGTGGCACATGCACTCTGTTGCTCTGTGGCAAGTAGGGTCCTAGTTCCAGGACCAGGGATCAAACCTGTGTCCTCTGCATTGGCAGGTGGATTCTTAACCACTGGGCCACCAAGGAGGTTCCCTTTTAAGGCTCTAAATGTTGATTTAAAAATACTGCATAAGCAGATGTGTGGGTGGGTCACAGAAATCACAAAGATGAGATGATGATGACTGATGTTTGGGAAATGAAGGTTTCTGACAAATGTTTTGTTAAGGCCATAGACATGCTCAACCCCCCCCCCACCCCCCCCCCCCCGCAAATCAACGGCAACCCCCAAGCACTGGGAGTGGCCCTTCCAGCCTTTCTCCTGCAGAGCCTGCAGCCTTCCTTGGTGCCCACACCTCTTTCTCCTGCTTCAGGAAGTTCTTCTGAACTCCCAGAATGCTGCAACCCTGGGTCCCGAAGTTTTTGCCCCCAGATGTCCAACACACAAAAGGTGCACTGGCAGCTGGGAGGGAGCTGGCGCTCCCCTCTTGCAGAGTCTGTCTGAGACACAGCAAAGGTGGGCAGGAGTGGTGTGAGCAGGCTGAATGCCAGCACGCTGCTTGGGGACTCCAACAGAGGGGGCTCCGAACAAGGTGACCCAGGGTCAGAGCAAGGTGACCCAGGGTCAGAGCACTGGCCTGAGGGTCCCTGGCCTGCCTCCCACCCCCTTACCAACTGAGGAAGCTTGGACAAGTTTTTTTTTTTTTCCAGCTGCATAGTGCGGCATGTAGGATCTTAGTTCCCCAGCCAGGAATCACACCCATGCCTTTTGCATTGAAAGGGGGGAGGTTTAACCATTGGTCTGCCAGAGAAGTCACTTCTGCCTGTTTGGGCCTCTGGCTGCTCATTTAGGAAACAGAATTTCTCACAGTGACCTCACCGCAGAGCAGTGATTACAGGGGAGCTGTGGGCTGAAAGGTGCTCTAGTAATCGTGGCCACTGTGCTGGGTGACATG